TGTAAGAAATCGTATTCAGTATGATTTTTTCGACCGTTGATGGACCAACAAATATTGGTCAAATCGCTGACGAGTATGTTGAAAATTAGTAACCACAGATCCACCGACGTCACACGCACATCATTTGATCAACAAAGTATATTATTTTGCGCGACGCAGAGCTGAGTATATACGTAAAATAGGTGGATCAATATTTGTTCTAACTTCTCACTGGAGCAACATTTACCGTGAAAGGTTCTATATATATATATATATATATATATATATATATATATATATATATATATATATATATATATATATATATAGATTAAGTTATAATCTAAGTGTGGAGGGATGTAGCATACTATGTCGGTAGATAATAATAACGGTTTTGACTGCTACCCTGTATTCAGTGAATAAATGGACGCTTACGGTTTGCCGTATAAGCCCTTCCCGTATTCCTTTAATAGCAAGGACATTACAGTGGCGACGAGGATGGGAAAGTGCGCAGCGTATTGTTTCCTCTGGCGATTCGGCACAGTTAATTAAGTTCGAACCTGTGTTATATACGGACTGGCGGCGAAAAGCTATTGCGAGCGGCGGTACTCTAGCGGTCGCGCCCGTGGTGGCGGCGACAGCGGAGCCCCCAGGTGTAATGTGTGTGGTGCGAGGTCACTTGATACCTCCGTATGTGACTATCGTCATTTGTTGTGCAATTTGTGTGGTGCAAAAGGATATTTAAAAAGAATGTGTTTTAAGAGATACTACGTACATAACGAGATTACAACCAAAAAGGACAAAATTGTAAAAAAAGCACCATAATGGCATGCAGAATAATTACATTTTAGAATGTAGTGTATTCTAGAATGTAATGATTTTTCACCAATTAGTAATTGTTGAGATATAAATAATGACACACGTATTAATACTATTTTATGTAAGGAAGGAAAACCGATATCTCTTGAAGTTATATTGCGAGGTGCTACTCTTAGTATAGAGCTTGATTTCGGTAGTGTGGGGTAGCGCTGCCGGCGCGCATATGGCATATGTATTTCTCGCGAGACTTGTCGCTCGGTGAGTCCAATAAAACTTTATATACATACAGTGGTTATGCTTTAAGGCATGTGTTACTTACCAGTCACATATAATAATGTAACGCATAATATAAAATTTTTATGTTGTAGACAATGGCCCGGTTCCCTTGCTCGGTAGGGACTTTATGACAAAATTTAATTTCGCTTTTATCTCATTAAATTGTTGTTCAGAATTTATTTTGTCGAAACATAAAACATTATTTTCTGGTAAGTTAGGCACGTTCAATAAGTATAAGTTAACGCTACACTTATAAGAAGATGTCATACCAAAATTTTTTAAAGCTAAGCCGGTGCCTTTTGCTCTTAAAGTATGGAGTGTCTCTACACTCCATAGCTTAAAGATAAAAGTAAGCGCAGAGTTGGACCGATTAGTGCACGCTGGAATACTCAAACCGGTTTCTTATTCTAATTTCCCGTCACCGATTGTTGCGGTATTAAAGAAAAATAATGACGTACGTATTTGCGGCGATTATTCTATGACGATCAATGAGGCCTTAATAATTGACTCTTATCCATTGCCAAAAATAAGTGAGTTATGCGCACTGTTACACGGTTGTCGTTACTTTAGTAAGCTTGATTTATCGAATAGTTATAATCAGTTCCTTCTAGACGACGAATCACAAAAATATACATGTATCAATACAGGTATAAATAAAGGTCTTTTTGTTTATACGAGATTAGTGTTTGGTTTGTCAAATGCGCCAGCTTTGTTCTATGGTGCAACTGCTGCAGGGCATAGATGGCGTGGAGTGTTTTCTCGACGATTTGTTAATCTCGGCTTCGACGATTCGGTATTAAGTCGTCTAAGAAACGCCGGGTTAATGCTCCAGCGATCGAAATGTTCTTTCTTCCAAAATAAAATAGTATATTTTTATTTTGTTATTGATCGTTTTGGAATTGGTGTTTTTGGTTTTTGGTTTTTGGTGGTCACTGGTGATATTAATCCCAGCGGGTCAAATAATGCCATTATGATGCTCAACGCTTCACGTTTAGTTGGCAAGCGTTGTTTTTCTTTTACGTCGGCAGGCATCTTCATATTGTGAGTATTAAATCCAATATGATCGCTTTGTACATGCCAGAGCAGGCCGAGCGTCTTCTCAGTTTCTTTTCCGCCCAGGCTCACGGTCGCGTCGTGTTGTTTATGCTCTGTCGTTATTTCTTCTATTGTTTTCTCTTCGTTCGATGTCCACCCGCTGAGTACGAATCCCGCTTGTTTGTGGATGTGATCGACTGCTTTTACCGTTTGCTGAGCTTCCGTGACAGAGTGAAAGCTCTGCAAGTAGTCGTCCATATAGTGATTTCTTTTTATGGCGACCGCAGCTTCTAGGTATGCCTCTGCATGTTCTTCAGCATTTTTATTTTTGATGTATAATGCTGTGCATGGTGATGATGTCGCTCCAAAGATGATTGACGTCATCCTATATTCTTCCGGTTGGTCCTCTCTTCGCTTGCCTCTCTACAAGAAACGTAAAACGTCTCTATCTTCTTTGCGCACTTTGATCTGCATGAACATTTCTTTTATGTCGGCGCTCACTGCATACGGATACTGTCGGAACCTCATGATTACTCCGGGCAATGATTGTAATAAGTCGCGCCCCGAGTGAAGCATATCGTTGAGACATATTCCGGCTATCTTCGCTGCGGCGTCGTGCACCAATCTCGGCGGCTTGTCTGGTTTCGCAGGGTTGATGACTGGGAAGTGTGGCAGATACCATGTCCTTCCTTGTGGCGGTGGCATGGGCGCGCGCTCTGCGTAACCCGAGTTGAAAAGGTTCTGTGTGCGTTCTGCGTACTGTAGCTTCAGATTGCTGTCTCGGTCGAGCCTCTTCTCTAAGGTGTTCAGGCGCCTTTCCGCGTCCTTGTAATTATTTGGTATTTGGAAATCCTTTTGTTTCCACAACAACCCTGTTTCGAATCTGCCGTCCGCCGACCTCTGGCTGGTTTCCCTCAATATTTGCTCGGGATCTTCTTTCGGTCTTCTTGGCTCGATGCACAGCGATTCTAATTTGAAATAATTTTTTATTTCCTCTTCTATAGGCTGTGTATCTTCCCTCTGATGTAGTCTGCCGCAGAAGGTGACCGTCGACGTCAATGAGCTATGACAGCCATGCAGAACCCAGCCCAGGTTGGTGTGTGAGGCGACTGGTTGGTTTCGACAACCGACGCGCAGTTTTCTAGACACTATGAGGTGCCAGTTATCTGGTCCGATTAGTATTTTCGGTGCACCCTCATGGCTCCGCCCACCACCCCTAGGTTGTTCAACTAGCGTTGGTTACGACAAGCATTTAGTAAATATTTCGTTCAACGTATCACTTTGTTTGCGTCGTGCACAATTATAGAAGAAAGAAGATCTTCAAGGAAGAAAGAAGTACGTCGACAAAGAGAGAAGATCGTCGGTACTAATTCCTTCCCCGTTTCTTATTACGTCTACGTCATATACGTCTATTGTCTGTTTCCAGACAATTCTCTTGTTTCTTAACCGCGTTTACGCGGCCAGGTGGTTGCTCCCTAACGGTGCCAAACTGTGACCATCTGGTAACGCCCTTGCGGCGAGAACGGCGGCCAATACGTGCGTCTTTTCGAAGACGATCGGAGGTCGCAACGTGGGACATCATCATGCGGAAGACAAGAAGCCAGAAGACACGGAACGACGACGAAACGCCGGTAGGAATGCAGATATTCGAGGAAGCATCCGCGTCCCCGTCCGATTATCTCGCATTGGCACAAGCGCCCTCCGCCGCGCCCCAGCCCCCGCTCGCGCCCACATCTATGCCCGCGCCCGCGCCCGCGCCCGCGCCGCCGCGCCCCGCTATGTCCGTGTCTACAACCGATCGCTTGGGAGAGGTTAGCACATCCGCACCGCGTACAGAGACGCTCGCCGCGATTATAGAAGATCTTCCAATTACAGAGACCAGTTCTATAGTGCTTACCGTCGCGCCTGTAGCAGACGTTGTACATAGGCCCGCGCCCCGCGCCCCGTCGGTCCGTTCAGTCCGTTCAGCCCGGTCGACAGCTAGCGCAATAGCAAAGTTAAAACAAATCGAGTATAATACCGCGGAGGAACTAGCTGCAATTAGAAGGAAGCAATTGCAAATCGAAGAAGATCTCATCAAGAAGAAATACGCTAGGGACATCGCTCAACTGCAAGAAGAAACGGATCGGGAAAGTTTAAACGAAGACGAATTAGTGGAAAATAGGGTACGCGTTGATAGGTGGTTAGAGAACGTGGAGACTGCGCGGGGCGAGCCGCCCTACCGCCCATCTCAGCCCGCGTCCCGCATCGAGATAGAGCAGGCCCCGCCGAGTAGGGTAACCGGTTACGACCACGCTGAAGATGCCCAGGGGAGGTTGGTTGCGAATGATGTTCCTGAATGAATGTGTCCCTCTGTATCGTATCAACCGCGCCGCGTAGATACGATACAGAGGGACAATGGAGTCGCCGTAGAAATGAACCAGGTGAATCGCTGTGTACGGGTTACGTCGCCGTCGCGCGTCCAACGCCGCACTCTATTGCCTATACATAGATCGCCACATCGCCACGCGGATCGTAGATTACCGTCGCCGTGTAAGGATGTAGGTGCACGTAGATCGCCATCGCCACATCGCCACGCGGATCGTAGATTACCGTCGCCGTGTAATGATGTAGGTATAGATAAATCGCCACATCGGCACGCGGATCGTAGATTACCGTCGCCGTGTTATAAGGATGTAGGTGTACATAGGTCGCCAGCGCCACAGCGTAGGCTAGAGGGAAATAGGGATAGAGATAGGTCGCTCACCCCGCGAGGGAAAGATAGGAGTATAGAACGACTAGCGGAAGCCTTAGAAGGTATGATAAGACTTAGACCAGCCGCTGCGAAGCAGACACAGGAGTTGCCTATTTTCAACGGCTCGGCCGCGGAATGGTTATCGTTTAAAGCCGTGATGAGGGAGTGCACGCGTGGATTCACCAATACGGAAAATATGGCAAGGTTAAGGAACTGTTTACGTGGTGAGGCTAGGGAGGTAGTATCGGCGCTGCTGTTTACCGCGAAGGAACCAGCAGACATTATGCGGACACTGGAGCAGTGTTTCGGCCGCCCGGAAGTGATTATTGATTGTGCGTTAGATGACTTGAAACGCCTTCCGCGCCCGGGTCAAACCGCCCAGGAGTTAAATTCGTTCGCTATTAAGTTGCAAAATATAGTGTGTATAATTCAAAACGTTGACGGCAAAGGATATTTACAAAATCCGATGCTAACTAGGGAGGCCGCGTTGGTGCGATTATGCGGAGCACTACGGAAGTGCGGACGAACCGGACATTGTCACACTATCCCGGTTTATGATGAGAGAGACTGATTGTGCGTTAAGTCACGCCTATACGTCCGTAACGCCGACCAAGGAATCGCCCGTAAGACGAGAAGCGCCACCGTCAAAAAGGATAGTGTTGACATGTAGCGTAGGGCCCGCGACGTAAAGACGTTCACCGCCCAGGAGGACACCGGTAGTGCCTCGTGTATGTGTTGTGGGGGTAAATACCCTATCGCCAAATGTAGGAAGCTGGCGCAGATGGGTTTGGACGACCGGTGGAAGTGGGTAAGGGAAGATGGGGTGTGCTTTAAGTGCTTAAACAGCAAACACCAGCGCATACGTTGTAAAGCTAGGAAATGCGACGTCGACGGCTGCAACGCTCCCCAACACGCTGTCCTTCACACCCGCATGGCCCGCACGCCTGAAGCGTCGGTAAAACCGGATGAAACCGCTCGTCGCGTCGAATGTTAGTAGTAGTGCGTCTGTACTATTGAAAGTGTGTCCCATAACCGTGAGCGGACCGCGCGGCAAGGAAGTTGATACGTATGCGCTACTTGACGAAGGCTCTACCATATCGTTGATCGACGACGACATAGCTCGCGAGTTAGGAGCGGAAGGACCGGTAAAGCCGCTCAATATTAGAGGCGTAAGTAATAGTCAACGCGAGGCCAATAGTAGGTTAGTTAATATAGGGATACGTGGCAAGACGCGCAATGAGATATATAATGTAAGCGCGCGAACGATAGCAGATTTAAAGATAGGCTCGCAGTCTGCAAGTAGGGAGTGCTAACGGTTGAAGCACTTACGTGACTTACCGAGTTCGGTGTGTTACGACGACGCGAAGCCGAGATTATTATTAGGTGCCGACAATTGGCATTTAATAATCACCCGTAATTTGAGAATAGGACAGCCCATAGCTGCACGTACGTTACTAGGGTGGGCAATTCAGGGAACCGTGCCGCGGTTAACGTGTAGGGAAGACGGCGAGACCGTATTACACGTAGCAAGCACTAGCGGACGGCCAGATAGGGACATCCGAACGTTTGCAGTCAGGTCGAGGAGCTAACGGAACTCCTCAAACGGCAGTATGAGATAGATTCCATACGTATCTCGCTAAAGAGTAGGCCGCGACGGGAAGAGGAGCGCGCTGTCGACATATTCCAGCGCACCGTCAAGAAGGTCGCCGAGCAATAACAAGTGTGACTGCCATGGAAGGACGACAACGTGCGGATGCCACCCAGCTATGAAATGGCAGCTCGAAGACTACGGACGAATGAAAGGAAGATGGACCAGTCGCCGGAGTTTCGGGACGCCTACACAACCCAGATAGACAACCTCCTGGCGAAAGGATACGCAAGGGAAGCCGAAGGGACGGAGAGAGAGGATCCCAAGAGCTGGTACCTGCCACACTTCGCATTACGGAATCCGAACAAGCCGGGTAAGACAAGAGTAGTGTTCGACGCGGCAGCACGCGCATCCGGTAGATGTCTTAACGACTATTTACTCGACGGCCCCGACTTATTACGAAAGTTACCGGGCATACTGTTTAGGTTTAGAGAGAATGAGATAGCCGTGTCCGCGGATATTAGGGAAATGTTCTTGCGTGTGAAAATCGACCGTCGCGACCAATCCGCGCAATTGTTTCTCTGACGAGGAAACGAGCGACACAGCCCACCGCGGGAGTACGTTATGACGTCGATGATTTTCGGCGCGAGGAGCTCGCCGTTTCTCGCACATAGTGTTAGAGATTATAACGCGCGCGCACACGCAGAGACACACCCGTTGGCACTTAACGCTATCGTACGTAGTCATTATATGGACGACTATTTAGACATTTATGCAACGGTAGAGGAAGCGGTAAATACGGCAAGGCAGGTTTCGGAAGTGCACCAGAAGGCCGGTTTCACCTTGGCAGGCTGGAATTCTAATCACGCAGCCCTATTGGAAGACAAGCCGGAGGAACTACTGGCGCGCAAGCCTAAGGAAGTAGGCTTAAGGCAAGACAGCCCAGGCAGAACACTAGGGTTGTTATGGATGGCCTACGAAGACGCCCTAACTTTCAACACATCGATGAATAGGGGGCCGCAGGAAGTAAAGGCGCTACAGCGGCCACCGACCAAGAGGGAAGCATTAAGCGCAGTTATGTCTGTGTTTGACCCGCTCGGACTGCTAAGCTACCTCACCATCACCGCCAAGATCCTGCTACAAGACCTATGGCGTATGAAGAAGGTCGGATGGGATGACGAACTACCCGAGGAGGCAGCGGAGGAATTTCAGAGGTGGCTGCGAGTCGTCGAGGAGGTGTCACGACTGCGACTGCCAAGATGCTATGCTCCTACAGGGGGAGTGGTAGAGCGTCAACTTCACGTGTTTAACGACGCAAGCGATTGTCGTACGCATCCGCGGCATATTGGCGAATACGATACAGCGACGGAACAGTTAGGGTGCGATCAGTGGCGGCTAAGGCGAAAGTCGCTCCGATCAAGGCGCAAAGTATACCGCAATTAGAGTTGCAGGCGAACTTAATAGGCGCGCGACTCGCGGAATTCGTGCAAGGCAAACACAGAGTGGTAGCAGATAGGGTCGTATATTGGACGGACTCTACTACGGCGCTCCACTAGATACAAAATGATACGGCGCGTTACACTCCATACGTGGTTCACCGGTTAGGGGAGATAGCTGAAAAGACATCACCCGAGCAATGGAGGTGGATACCAACTGCGGAAAACGTAGCAGATCAGGCAACGCGCATGAATTTCGCAACCAAAGAAGGAAGCCATAAATGGTTTACAGGACCGCCCTTCCTTTACGAGAACGAAGACAGATGGCCTCACCGACAGGAAGAGAAGGCAGGGGATGATGAAGAGTTGGAGGAAATCGTGGCGCACCAGAGCGGCACCAAGGACGCTCCACACCTGCCAGACGGAACGATTCTCATCCTACGAGAGGTTGGTCAGGATCAAGGGCGGAGTGCTGCGGCGGCCGGTCAGGAAGATAGCCGTCCTCCCGAGGGAAGCTTAGGCTCGCATGCTACGCCGGGGGGAGGATGTAGCGGACGGCGAAGGAGGCCGCCGCCCCGTGGCCCCTTCACACCCCGTTGCGCCCCGCGCACCCCGCACACCGGCAGCAGATCACGCGATGTCGCCGACCAATCAGCGCGCGGCATCGCCTTACAACGCTACTCGCATACCGAGACGCTCTCTTGCGGGATATAAGAAGGGCGTTTTGGTCTGTGAGGCGTTCATTTCATTTCGGAAGCGGCACTAGAAGAAACCACAAGAGAAGAAACCTCAAGAGAAATCAAGAAGACTCCCCTCTGTATATAGTTTATTAGTGCCACATTTGTAAATAGTTGAATACAGTATAGTTCTACAGTACCATCTTTTCTTTGAGCAGTCCCTTAGCGTAGTCAGTCATACAGTCCACTTGCAACAATTAAAATTAATACAGACCACTACAGTCCCTTATATAACTAATAATCGTAAGATTTGTGACTTTATTACTAGATGTCATGGTTGTAATTGGGTTGAACATAAAACTGTTTCAATTTTTTGTCTCAGTTCTTTAGTAAACAAATGTAGCTGTATATATTCACGCGGACAGCATTTAGCTATGATTTTGTATGTGACCCGTTATCTAGTTGGTATTGCTGATCGAAGCTTTTATGTTAAACGAGGCATTGGTGAGCATGGCGATTGCATTGCATTCAAACCAACGAAAGATATGTTTAATTTAAATTTAAAAAATTATAGCATTATTATATGTGTATTTTTACTTTTCTTAGTTTAATACAATGGTAAATAAAGTTAGCAGTATTTAGGCATTTTTTATTACAGACTTTGGCAGAATTTGGCAGGTGTTTAACCAAAGTGAGACAGGATCTGTATTTTAAAGATGGTCAACCTGATTGTAAAGTACACTGTGTGGTGAGAGTTTTGGTGGGAACTTGACCGGCGTCGGTTTGCTGCTCCTGTATTATTGTTTAAATAATGGTTTGAAGTGGACTTTGATATGTAAAACTGGTGCGATTTTGTGTATTAAGTGTCTGCGCATGTGAACTATTAGTGGAAACTGTGAAACAAGTGCTCTGATGGTGATGGATTCTCAAGATAAGCTGTTTGTCTACATAGGCGCCTTTAGATACCATCGCCAACTGTCAGCTGTCTGCTGGCTCAAGTTGCCGTCAAAATCTCCCAAGGGCTGCACAATGTGACGCATCAACATATTGTGAAGCAGTGAACTATGAAGGATAATTATACATTTGGGGAAATTATAATAAACCGAATAAAAATACTTAAGACTTGGCCTAAAGATCTAGATACCAGGCCATAAACTCCAAAAAAAAAAATACACTGTGTGGTGTGTGAGCGAGACCAGATTTAGTAGATTTCTACTTTTTTGGTAGATTTTGAGGTACTGGCAACAGAATTTAGTATGTACAAATTATTTGGTATATGTTAGTAGAATTCACGATTTTCAGTTATTCTAGTACTTTTTTGGCATATCGGATAAATGCGGGGTATTCCCCCTTTTATCGAATGGATTGTAACTATTTAATTTTCATTCTTTTCGTTACCATTGGTGCCGTGAGCATAGTGTGATAGACTAGTGGGAATTCCTTTATTGAGAATTTTTATAATCAAGTTTAAAATGAAACGTAAATATACACAAGGATATCGCGATGAATGGGAGCAAGATCCCTCATTTAAAAGTTGGTTATGTATACCTAAGGTAAACACTACGATTGCTCATTGTAAACCATGCAACTGTGAAATACCAAGTAGAGTGGCGTCTTTGAAGGAACACATGGCTACATCAAAGCATATAAAAAAATATGAAAGGATATTCCGGCATTTCTCAGATATGCAAGTTACTTACGTTAAGGTGGCACAAGTCGCGGGCTCGAACTCGCTGGTGGGCGCGGCCAAAAAGCACGCTGTCTCACCTGGCATCGTGCCCGACAGAGATAGTATCAGTGATGAGCATATCGACACTAGTATTCACGCACGTCTTGTTCGTACGGCATTCAGAACCGTTTGAACAAAAAC